TGCTAGAGTCTGTAAACAAGTCAAGATGGCGCCTGGCATTTTGCAGAGGGAGTGGTTTGTGAAGTAATGCCAGCGAGCCATTAAGTGTGGAGATTCCTTATTGGTTGACTGCTGTATCGAGTTTATGCTAATTAGATAAGCTGTGTGGAATGTATAAATACCCCTCCTGTCCTACAATAAACAGCTCCCACTCCTGCTGTATCAATGTACACAAGTTGCTCGTAACCCCCCACCCCCCGGTTATTTTGCTGCAGCCGGACTGCGGCACACACACACACACACACAAAATTGAATTGAAACTACAGTCCATGAGTTCTCTGTTTATCACATGGCCCCTCACCTTGGTGTCTTGCCCCGGACCCTGCTCAGTGGATCCATAGGGTCCCCATGGCCCGAGAGAGTCACTCATTTATGGTTTCAGTCATAGTTTTATATTTTAAGATCTGGAAAGAAGTCTTGGACATCATCAAACCCCACCATATCATTTTACTAATGAAGGAACTGGAGGTCCAGAGAGAAAAAAGTAACTTACCCAAGGTCATCAATTCTAACCTACCATGGCTACTTAATTTGCTGTGGACTTGAGTGGGTTCCATCCCCCACAGAGCCTATAGTTTCCTCTGTGAAATGAGGGCTTTGGAGTATTAAGAGGTCTCAGTTCCCTTTCAACTCTGCCCTTTACCTATATTAAAATAATAGCTCTTTCTATCATCCTGTAATTTAGTCAGGACATTCCTTCTTCCACCTCAGTGCTCCCTCCCAAAAGCCCAGGAGACAGGTCTGTCCAGGCACAGGGCACATGCCTCTTATCCCAGTGACTCGGGAGGCTGAGACAGGAGGATCGCACGTTCTGGAGGTCAGTCTCAACAATTTAGGTAGACCCTGTCTCAAAATTTAAAAAGGGAGGGAGGAGCTGGGGATGTAGCTCCATGGTAGAGAACCCAGGGTCCAATCCCCAGTGCCACACACAAAATTAAAAAAAAAAAAAAAGAAAGAAAGAAAAAGAAAAAACACATTTGGGGAAAAGAGAAAAGAAAGAAAAACACATTTGAATGACTTCTGAGCTCACTGCTCAATTAATTTGAATCTGAGTCCTGAATTTCACCAGGAGTAAGGACAAGAAGGAGGGAAAGCCAAGGCCTAGGGGAAGCCGTTGGCCAGCCGGTGCCATCCCGCCTGGGAGCAGCCCCGTGATCGTGATCCCATGCCTGCAGGCCTTCCAAGAGCTGGCAGCGCCACGGGGATAAATAAGGCCAGCAAGCGCACCTTACATGGGCATCCTGGCGGCCGCCGGAATCCCTGGGATTGCACAGCCCTGGGGAGGTCTTGGAGCAAGTGCACGTCACCTGCTGTGGGCACAAGTGTGACTGGGCTTCTGCAGCCTCTGTCTTGTGACAGAGGAATTTTTAAATGGAAGCTCTGAGCTCACAAAGAAGAAAATGTCTCCTTGATGTCACACAGTTGCTGCCAATTTATCAGCAGGAGCTAAAGGTCAGAGAGGGGGAAGCCACTGCCCTAGGGTCCTGTGCTGCACCCTGAGATGGGGCTTCCCTTCCCCAGGCTCTCCGCCAGCCATCCCAGCCAGCCCTGGAACTAGAGCTGTGTTTGCATTTCCAGGGCACTGAAGCAAAGCAATTCAAACCCCACCTCCTGCTCCTGCCCTTCTCTCTGCTCACCCTCTCAGCCCCCTAGGCCATCACTCTCCTCTGCACACTGTCAGGGACTCGGAGGGGCCCTGTCCTGGGGGTTCTTCCCTGGGGTCACTTAAAGGGTAAAACCAAAAATTGTGTGACATTCTTTCAGATGTTGAATAACTAAATGCAGTGGTTAAAGAACTGTAGCTGGGGGGCTGGGGATGTGGCTCAAGCGGTAGCGCGCTCGCTTGGCATGCGTGCGGCCGGGGTTCGATCCTCAGCACCACATACAAAGATGTTGTGTCCGCCGAGAACTAAAAATAAATATTAAAAAAAAAAAAAAAAAAGAACTGTAGCTGGGGCCGGATGTGATGGTGCATGTCTGTCATCCCAGCAACTCGGGAGGCTGAGGCAGGAGGATCAAAAGTTCAAAGCCAGCCTCAGCAATTTAGCAAGGCACTAAGCAACTTAGCAAGACCCTGTCCAAAATAAAAAATAAAAAGGGCTAGTGGTGTAGCTTAGAGGTTAAGCACTCCTGGGTTCAATCTCCGGTACCAAAAAAAAAAAAAACCTAAAGCTGGGAATCCCACTGCCTGGGTCACAGTCTGGTTCTACCATTTCCTACTAGTGTGATATCTACAAATTACTTAACCTTTGTGAGCTTGTTTCCTGACTTAGAAAATGAGGATAATAAGAATACTATTGGTTGCAGTAGCACATGCCTTTAATCTTAGCTAGGATCCCTTGAGCCTAGGAGTTCAAGATTAGCCTGGGCACCACAGCATGGTCCTAAGGATTCGGTATGAAGCAGTGACACAGAGCCTGGACGGTCAATGTCAGCTTGGAACCAAAACTCGAATCTACCACTGAGCAATTTGCTCAATCCTGAGTCTTAGTTTCCTCATTCATCCGACAGGGATGGGCACAGGTAAGGATCAAGAGCCCTTAACCTGGCACCTGATGCTGGAAAACAAACAGTGGTTGCTGGGATGACAATCTCTAGCCACTAAACTGAGCTGCAGGGAAACTCCTTCCCAAGGCTGACACCAGTATTTGCCCCTCTACAAGTCCTGACCTAGAGTTGCAGAAGGAACATATAAAACATGCAGAGATCAAACATGCACGCATAAAACATTTTTTTTTAAATCTACCTTCATTTTTTTAAAATTTATTTTTTAGTTGTGGTTGGACACAATACACTTATTTTATTTATTTGTATGTGATGCTGAGGATCCAACCCGGGTCCCGCCCATGCTAGGCGAGCGCTCTACCGCTGAGCCACAACCCCAGCACCTCCCCCCCCAATAAAACATTTTTTAAAAATTCCTTTTAGAGGGCTGGGATCCTCAGCCCCATATAAAAATAAAGGCGTTGTGTTGTGTCCATCTACACCTAAAAATAAATATTTTTTTAAAATAAAATTCCTTTTAGAGCCGTGCACAGTGGCCCACATCTGTAATCTAAGCCACTGGGGAGGCTGAGGCAGGAGGATCACAAATTCAAAGCCAGGTTCAAGAACTTAGCAAGCTGGGTTGGGTATATAGTTCAGTTGGTAGAGTGCTTACCTTGCATGCATAAGGCCCTGGGGTCAATCCCCAGCACCACACACACACACACACACACACACAAAAAAACCAACTCAGCAAGACCCTGCCCCCACCTTACCCCCCAAAAGGGCTGGGATATGGCTCAGGAGTAAAGGCCCCTGTGTTTTTTGGTACTTGAGAGTCCAAAAAAAAAAAAAAAAAAAATGGATAGGAAAGAAAGACTCAATTGAGGTGACAGGGAGAAGACCAAGGGTGGAGAATAAAATGACAAGTAGGAAGGAGACAGCTGGGTGTGGTGGGGCACACCTGTAATTTCAGTGACTCAGGAAACTGAAGCCTTGAAAGTTTGAAGCCAGCCTGAGCGACTATAGTGAGACCCTGTCTCAAAACAAAAATAAAAAGGATTGAGGACGTAGCTCAATGGTGGAACGCTCCTGGGTTCAACCCCAGGACCACAAAAAATAAAAAATAGCCGGGCACAGTGGCACACCCCTGTAATCCCAGCTGTTTGAGAGGAGGAGGCAGGAGGATCCCAAGTTCAAAGCCAGCCTCAGCTACTTAAAGAGGGACTAAGCAATTTAGCATGACCCTGTCCCGAAATAAAAATTTAAAAAGGGCCAGGGATGTGGCTCAGTGGTTAAGTGAGCCTGGGGGTTCAAACCCTGGTACCAATAAACAAACAAATAAATGTAGGTGAAACAGGCTGAAAAGCCTAATAAAAAGAGAGCAGTTGAACAGGGCATGGTGGCTCACACCTGCCTCTGGAAGATGAGGCAGGAGGTTCACAAATTGGAGGCCAACCTCAGCAATGTAGTTTCAAAATAAAAAACAGTTGGAGCTGGGTGCGGTGGTGCACGCCTGTAACCCCAGCGGCTCAGGAGGCTGAGGCAGGAGGATCTTGAGTTCAAAGCCAGCCTCAGCAACAGCGAGGCCCTAAGCAACTCAGTGAGACCCTGTCTCTAAATAAAATACAAAATAGGGCTGGGGCTGAGTGGTTGAGTGCCCCTGAGTTCAATCCCTGGCACCCCTACCCCCCAAAAAAAAATAGTTGGGATGTGGCTCAGTGTAGAGCAGCGCTAGCGCTGGGTTTGATCCCCAGAGAGGCACCCTGCGGAAGGGCGGGAGTGGGGTAGAGGGAGAGCTGAGCTAAGAGTAGAGTGGAGAGGCCAGGTGTGGTTCAGGTGGGCTTGCCCAGTGTGCCCAGGCCTGGGGTTCCATCTCCAGCACTAGGGCGTGCAGGTGCGCAGGAAGGCTTCCTGCCTGGGCTCCTCTGTCTACCTGCTGGAGCTTCACCCCTGCAGTCTCCACCTCACAGTGGCCCCAACAGGTGAGCCCCAGCAGAACACACCCCATCTCCTGGGTTTCCTGCTCTTCAGCGTCTTTCCACCAGCCTTTCCTTTTTCCTTCAAGACCAAGGTGCGGAGGACCTGACTGCGGCTCACAGGTTTCAGCCCTCCAGGGGCCATTAGTATTTTGAAAGATCTGGAGATCTGACACAGTATATTCTGTAAACATTTGCCAAGGCGTTCAGTTAGGCCTGTCCAGCTCCTCACAAGCACTCTGTTCCTGTCCCCCCGGGGCAGCGACCTCCCAGAGGCTTCATGTAAGAAACCCTGGAGGAGACTGGGCGCTGTGGTCCTCACCTGTACCGTTTCAATCCCCAGTCCAAACAAACAAACAACAACAACAAAACAACCAACCCTGGACAAGGGTGGGGCGGCCCTCCTCGCCCTGTGCCCCACAAATCCAGCAATGACCACGCGCTTATTCATGCCTTACCTCCTGCCAATCTACCCCTCCTGACAGCCCCCTTTATTACCTTACCCCGCCTACTACTCCAAACCCTTCAAGAGTTCACAGTTTCATTCCACGTGCTCCATAGTCCTGCCCAAACCCTCAGGGGTGGGATGTGTTCCACAGGGGCCCTGCCCCCACTCAGCAGCGCTTGCTCAAAGGGCCCCAGGGTGCCCGTCTGACCAGAGGGGCGTGTCCACAGGAGGACCTGGCGCAATGTGGCTGGGGTGAAAATCTGAATCATAGTCAACAGGGCAGCCAAATTCCTATCTGGAAATCGGGGCAGTCTGAAGGGCGAGGCCGCACTGTAAACAGAATGAGTAAGGAGGTCAGAAGCTGGTGGGGACCAGAATCATGTCTAGATGCAGCTTGAGGAAACGGAAACGGTACAGGACTGAGGCTGTGAATTGAATGATAAGAAGGTACAGGACACTGGCTGCGGGACTTGGGGGTGGCCTTGGGGAGAGCAGCCTTCGAAATCTCTTTCCTCTGGCTGCCTAGAACCCAAGATGCTTTGGCATCTTGCTCGTGGTTTTTGCTGTGTGTGTGTGGAGTCTCCCCAACTGCCTGCCGTTTCAAGCCCCTCGCTGGTCCCCGGGCACGGCAGAGTGATTTGTCCAATGCTCCATGGTGGTCCGTGTGGAAACAGCTGGATGTCCCCACAAGCAGGGGCTGTGCTAGAGCTGGCAAGTGAGCTCAGATCTCCAAGTCTCAGATTCCTTATCTGTAAAGCCAGGATAATGGCAACACTGCTTCATCATAGTGTTATATAATAACAACACCAGGGTGAGGATGAGCCTAGCAAATATTTGTAAAATGCTTAGACCGGTGCTTGGCACAGAGCAAATGCTGTATAAGTGTTAGCTCAATAAAAAACAAGGTGCCCAGCTGGTAAATAAGGCCAGTAATGCAAGTCAGCTATAATTGCAACATTTGAGTCCTTAGGTCCTCCACACTAAGGTCAACAGCAGGCTACCATGGGCTAAACTGACCACAGAACTTTCAGAAATTAATTTTCATTTCGGCTAAGAATAGAAAGGTAGGTTGTTGATTTATTTCATTTGGGCACACAGGAAATATCACTGCAGTTACTCCCCTTACTGTTCTTAGGAAACCACTCAGAAATCCAGAAGTACCAGTTCAAATACAGTACCTGTCCAAATTTAATAGGCCTCATAAAAAAAAAAAAAATGTCAGCCAGGCGTAGTGACGCAGGCCTATAATCCCAGCTGCTCAAGAGGCTGAGGCAGGGAGATCGCAAGTTCCAGGTCAGCCTGGGAGACTTAGGGTGATCTTGTCTCAAAATAAAAATAAATAAATAAAAAGGGCTGGGAATGGAGCTCAGTGGCAGAGTGTGCTCTGAGTTCAGTCCCCAGCACCAGTAATGCAAAACAAAAACAAAGTCCAGGGCTTGCTTGGGGTGTAGCTCAGTGGTAAAGGCCCTGCCCAGCAGGCAGGAGATGTGAGAGATCCTGGGTTCAATCCCTAGTACTGCAAAAATAAAGAAAGAAGAAATAAAAAGTCAATCTTAGAAAATGACTATGGGTGTCAAGAAGGATCCGTCTGGATTTAGGCAGACTCACTGGAGTCTAGCAAGGTTCAAGGTTAGAGCTGCCCTTGGAAGAAAAGGAGTCCTGAGGATACAATGCAAAGAGGAGGGAATACGTTTATTTTTCTCCAAACTTATTGAGGGTGAAAAATAAACGTATTCTCCTGGGTTTCCTGCTCTTCAGCGTCTTTCCACCAGCCTTTCCTTTTTCCTTCAAGACCAAGGTGCGGAGGACCTGACTGGCAAAGGAGAAAGGAGGGGGAGAATGTGAGTGTATGGTTTGTTAAATGATAAAAAAAAAAATGGAGTCAATGTATTGTAATAGCTCGGTAGCAATTCAAAGAGAGACCAAAAAGTCTGTTTCCTCTAGCAATCTATCAACCAGAAATCTTTATTAACTGAACCTCTCACTAGACTACTAGATGGCACTAATAGATGGTTGAAAATGATGACCCTGATACACTGCAAAATCCTAAACAGCTTTCTGAAACAGGAGGGAAAAAAGATTCAATGAAGCTTGCAATGATTTGTGACAAGCAGATTTTATTGTCTTCTAATTTTTTTTAAAACAAGCGATATTTTTGTCATCTTTAGTATGTGATGATTTATATGCCACCTAATAACTTTCTACCCACCATAATATTAGAACAAAACATTGCTCAATTATGGTTGGTATCAGGGTTTAACAGAAATTCCTTTTCTCTCAACCGCCTGCAGCCCTCTTTGCTGGGTTCTCTCTCCCACCTGCTCTTCTTCTTGCCAGAGCGGGATTTCATTTTTGGGTCCAAACTTGACCCAGAGGCCCTTCCCCCAGTGCTTCTTCTTCCCCCAGAGGGAGGGTGTACTTGGCCTTAGGAAGCACCTCCCCCACCTAGCTGAAGTTCTCCACCCCTGGGGAGGGCCTCAGGTTTGGGTGCTTCTCCCTGAGAGAAGGGACGTGGGCCCCGGGTAGAACTTTTAAAATACACACGTCTCTGGAGAGGAAAGGCCCGCGGAGAGCCAGGCGGTGACAACCGAGTGGTGTGGAGCACGTGGCTTAAGTAGAACAGAAACAGATCCGGCCTGGGCGCCCCAGGGACGTCCCAGACACAAAGCAGAGCTCAGGCTGCGCCAGGAGGGCGCGGATCCTGCAGCCACCGCGGGGCTCTCCCGCCTGGGCTAATCACCTTCCCCGTCCCGCTGCTCCCCGCCATCCGAGAGCCCCAGAGTTGGGGCTCTGCATACCACAGAGGTCAGACACAAATACAATCCATACATGGACTCCATCCTCGGGTCACAGGATTCGGTCAACAGCAGGGACGGAGGATGGTCCCAGCACCCACGTCCCAACCCCACCGGGACAGCTCTGTTTGTAAACACCGGTCACTTGGTAACACCCCCCGTGAGCGCGCCTTTGGGCCATTATTCATCACCCACTAACCTTAAACCAACTTCATCTTCGCAGGGCCTCCCCCACCCCCAGAAGAGAGGAAATTCCACAGCTCTGATGTGATGAGAAACGTGATCTGCGCGCCCAGCCCTCCCGCCGGCCTCCCTCCCCGCCGGCTCCCAACCTGGGCGTCCCGGCCCCTCTCCCGAGCCTCCCGCCCCCTCCCCACCCCCTGCCCCTCTCCCTCTGCGTTTTACACTGTGTAACCCGATAGGCTGGAAATGTCGCTTCTTTCATCTTCCATTTCCCACATCCTGAAAGTTTGGAGAGGAGAAGCCCACCCAGATAAAGGAATTCCAAGTATGTGAGCCCCCCTCCTCCTTGAACTCCATTCACAAAGCAGATTACTAATGGCTCCGGGCTCCGGGGAGGCCCCCCGCCCCCCCCCCATCCCCACCTCCCAAAGAGTTGACTCATTCCACGTCCTCACTCCTCACCCGCACAAAAGCCCAAGTCCACATGCTCAGCACCCCAAATTAACTTTTCCCTGGGTTCTGCTCCTTAAGCTTTCAAACCTCACCCAGATCGGGACTGAGCCATGAGCAGAGTCTGACTCCCATTCATCTGGCTCCTCTTAAGCGCCTCCAAACAGAAAGTGCTCAGGGAAAAATGTGTCAATGGATCAGGGAGAAAAGATACAAATGAAACAAGGGACGCTTCAAAGCTAAGAGCTGAGGTCTTTGGGAAAGATCAGAGTGTTCTAACCCCGAGTCACTGGCTTTCCAACAGATATTGCATTAAACCCAGAATAAGAGGTGCTTTATTTGAGGTGATGGGCAGAGAATAGAGGCTCTGGTAAAGGTTTTTACTTTTATTATTATTATTATTATTATTATTATTATTATTATTATGTGTTGCTGGGGCTGGAACCCAGCCAGTGCTCTAACCACTGAGCAGCATCCTCACTCCCTCTCCCCATCCCACCCCCATTGCTGGGAATTGAACCAGGGATACATTACCAATGAGCTACATCCCCAGAACTTCTTATTTTTTAAATTTTGAGACAGAGTCTCACTAAATTGCAGAGGCTGCCTCCTCAATGTCTGGGATCACAGACGTTTGTCACCACACCCGGCTTGGTAATGTTTTTTAAAAATTGTCTTAGTGATTACAAAATATGCCAACAGGTCAGTTCTTGGGTTCTCTGTCCTGAGTTCTGTCACTGACCAGGGACACAGAGGGCAGAGACACCTTCTCTGACTTCACCCTCAGAGGTTAGGAAGTAACCGCTGAGCATCCTTTTCCATGAAGGATGATTAGCTATCTTATCCATCCTTCCAGGAGGGTGAGAAAGCCATTTTGAACCTGTGCCAGCTCTGGGAAAATTCCCTGAGTTCACCAGCTCTGTGTGAAACAGGATTTCCTGCATCAAGAAGTGCTCCCTTGCCTGTTATTAGGGAATGTGTTTCAGAGATGACTAATCCATATTATTTTTGCAATTCAGGATTGTTAGCTACTTTGCTCAATGTACTAGTGTTTGACCAAAAACAGGATAAAGTCTGGGTACATGTTAGTGCACAGGGTCATGCATTTAATGGGGCTCATTATTGCCCAAGAAGCCTCCTGGAATTCCAAGAAGAATTCAAGAGGCCAGAGTTGGAAAATGCAGAAAAACAATGATAGGATGACAGACTGTGGCAGAACAGCCACACCGTGCGGCTCCCCAGAGCATCCATATGCTGCTGGGGAGAAATCAGTGCTGCAGCTCAGCTCCGAACTTCCTATGTTCAGGTAAATGCAGCCTGCACCTGCCGCGTCCAGCAGGTCACAGGCTTCTCTGAAGTCAGTGATACAACCAGTACCCACAAAGGCAAGTACTAATCTCTCAGGACCTCAGCCTCCTTATCTCTAAAACACTGGGGTTAATTTAACCCTTGCTAATCAAAGCACAGCCCCCACATACCAGCAGTAAGGCTTGACTTGTTAGTTTGGGATTTAACTAGAAATACCCCCTAACCTGCTGCTGTTTTGTACATAGGATTGAACTCAAGGATACTTAACCACTGAACAACATCCCTAGCCCTATTTTTAATTTTTTTTTTTTTTGGTATGGGGATTGAACTCAGAGGCGATCAACCACTGAGCCACATCCCCAGCCCTATTTTGCATTTTATTTACAGACAGATCTCTGAGTTGCTTTGGGCCTCAATAAGTTGGTGAAACTGGTTTTGAACTTGCAATCCACCTGTCTCAGCCACCCAAGTCACTAAGATTACAGGCATGTGCCACCACGCCCAGCAGGCCCTGGGTTTGATTTCTAGCACCACAAGAAAATAAAGTAAAATAAAAATAGACAAAATAGTAATAAGAAACAAACATGTTCCAACATCAGCTTTGATAATTAGCAACTCAGGGCTAACTTTGTTTCACTTGGAATATTTATCTGAGGTTCCTTTTACAGTTAGGGAAACTAAGATATTTAAATACATCTTACCAAGTAAAAACATTATGGAAAAGCTTCCAGAAGTCCTGGTTTATACTCCCTTTCTTCTGATCATCTTAACATAAAGAGATTTTTGTGGCAGTAATATCAGCAGCTTGGGAGAGTGAGGCAAGAGGATCACAAGTTCAAAGTCAGCCTCAGCAATTTAGCAAGGCCATAAGCAATTTAGCAAGACCCTGTCTCAAAAAAACAAAAAGGCTGGAGATGTGGCCCAGTGGTTGAGTGCCTCTGGGTTCAATCCCTGCACTCCCCTAAAAAAAGGCAGGAGTGTGGTGGTGCATACCTGTAACCCCAGGTACTTGGAAGGTGGAGTCAGGATTGCTTGTTGAAGGCCAGCCTTGGCCATTTAGAGACAGCTTGTTAAATAAGAATATCAATGGTCATTTTTATTCAAACTCAAAACCAGGTCAGGAGGCTAAGCAGTAAGTAGAGCACCAGCAAGGCCTATTTCGAATGTAGAAGACCTTGAGGATCACCTACAGGAACCCCTCCAGCCATCTCCTTTGTCCCAACAGTGGAAAACAGAGGTGGAGGTGAACTCAGATGGAATTATAGGAAGGAAAGTGAGGGTGAGCCCAGATGAGAGTTATGGGAGGCCACAGCCTCCAAACTTTTTCCAGGCCTATTTTACATACATTTTGCTCCGTGCTTTACGCAGAACCATATATAAACTCCTAAACTGTCGCACCAAAATGTTTTCTTTTTTCTGCTATGAGGCCCCCTCCCACATGGGGGTTTCTTACCTCTTCTCGCTTTAATAAATATTACTCTGTTTATTCTTCCCTCCCATGACGGTCCATGGATTTTATTCAAAATTTGTGAGACAAGAACCTGGAGGAAACTGGGAAACAGGGAATCTATTCTCATCTCATAACTCTGGTTTCATTGTCTCCAAACAGTAAATAAAAAAAGAGAGGCTGGGGGTATAGCTCTGTTTTAAAGCACCACTGGCTTCAATCCCAGCCCCTTACCCCCTCAGAAAAAGACACTGGGAGCAGTGGTGCACGCCTATGAATGATCCCAGCAACTCGGGAGGCTGAGACAGGAGGATGTAAATTCAAAGCCAGCCTCCTCCGGAATTTAGCAGGGCCTTACCAATTTAGCAAGACCCTGCCTCTAAATAAATATCTGGGGATGTGGCTCAGTTAAGTGCCCCTGGGTTCAATTCCCAGTACCAAAAAAGAAAAAGAGGAGGTTTTGTGCCCAGTGTGTTGTAAGAGAGAAGGTAGGAAAACACCTCAGGGCAATGAGGATAAGTCTTCTGGCCTTTGCTTTACTCTTTAACCTAGTAATAAATCTCTTAAAGCTCGCTTGGCATTCAGAATATCTTGTAAACAGCAAGGTCTCCCCTCATTGGTGACAGGAATGCAAGTTTACTGAGTGGACCAGGAGCTGCTGTCCCCAAGGCACGGTCCTGCCCTTTTCACCTATTGGCTAATTATAATGGCTGAATCTCAGGCCTCGGACAGGCGCACTCCAGAGGTGGAGGGCAGGCGAGGGAAGGCAGAACCCAAGCTGAGAAAAGAACTCTGCAGTTCCAAAACTCAGCACAACAATCAAGGGATAAAGCGGTAATTAGGCCTGATTATCATGCAAGGCAGCCCCAGTTCAATTGGAATGTAGCCGGAGAGACGGGAGGCTGGTTGGAGAGTTTGCTATGCTGGAGACACGCTTTGATGTCTGCAGGGAAGGCTGTTTCATTCAGCCATCCAGCACCCCCCCCCCCCCAAAAAAAAAAAAAAAAAACCAAAATGCCGCAGGAGAATATGAAACCCTCTCAATACAGCATACGGCTAGCAGAAGTGGAGAGCTAGTGCCCGGAACTGAGTTCTCCTTGAGTGTCTGTGTGTGCGTGTGTGCGCGCGTGCGTGCGTGTGTGTGTGTGTGTGTGTGTGTATATGCCTGCTTTTCTCAGATTTACTGCTCCAGCCTCTTGGATCTGTCAGAAGACAAGAAAAAAAGAGAAGAGCTCAGGGGCCAGCTATTGACTCGCCACCCTTTGTGGAGCGGGATTCTTGTGGCCAGGGAGACGGTGGCTAAGCTCAGGGCAGACTTTTTACCTGCTGTTGGGGAGGAAGTAAAAGAAATAAGAGGTAAATGACTCTGTGTGTCCCCAGGAGGCCCTGGAACTAGATAACAGATGCCGCTGGAGTCATCTGAGGCTGCCAGCTACCACAGCTTTTATACCCACGGATGGAGGAAGCAGAAGAAAATGAGCCAAGAAAGTAGGTTAATCTCCCAGAGAAACACAAAATAGGTGGCAGGTAGCTTTCTACACCTTTCACTCTCTAATTGCTTCAGACCCAGAGCTGTGAAGCACAAGGAATTCCTTCTGTGTCCTAACTTTACCCCTCTCTCTCCCCCCCTCCCTCTCTCATCCTTCTCGTGGGGTTCCCCATCCGGATGTATATTATTCTTGTATCCCAGCTAACTGATCAGCTAGCTGCACACCCCAACCAACCCTGGACTTTCCTTTCCATACAGGAGACTTCTAAAGCAACTGGGCATTGGGAGACAATGGGCTTTCTCCTAAATCACTGGCCGGAAAACAATAGGTTCCTAGTAAGATGTCATCCTGTCATTATTTTACTCTTTTCACAGGGTGCTTATCCTAGGAAATAGGATGTGCAATCCTGACTTTGCATTAGGAAAATCCATGAAAATACAAAGGTCTTCTATGGAAGGCTACATGCAAATTCTCTTCCCTAGGGGTCACCAAAATAAGACCCAAGTACCACTGTGCTATACCACTCAGGCATGTAGTTAAATCAATCTTTTCCTCCCCTTCTTCCCCACCCCCCTTTTCTTCCCCTGGAACTGGTGATTGAACCCAAGGATGCTTTACCACTGAGTTATATCCCAGCC